TAATCACATAAATGATCTTATTATCAATAAACCTGACTCGTTCACGCCTAGGTTCCTGGTATCAGTACAGCAAACCAACCATCCCATTAACTTACTCACTCAACCCATATCACTTATGGAAATAAAAATTAACTTAAATAAGATTAGGCATAAGGCACCAGGTGAAGATGAAATAAGTAACATAATCCTAAAAAAACCTTTCTGTCCCTATTTTAAAACATTTAGTTGCAATGTATAAACCTGTTGTTATCATCAGGATATTACCCAAGTATGTAGAAATCAGCCACCATCAAAGCAGTACTCAAGAAAGATAATGACTGAAGTAACCCTAGTAATTACAGACCCATTAGCTTACTCAATACACTAGGAAAACTAATGGAAAACTTGTAACCAATCGACTTAATTCGTATCTTGAAACAAATAAGATTTAGAAAAATAATCAGAATGCAGGCAGAAGAAACAGAGAAACTTCTGACCACCAAGTCAGATTAACTGAATCAGTATATGAAGGTTTTAATAGAAGACAAATGACTGTAGCTACATTCCTGGATATTTGGAAAGCTTTCAACTCAGTTTGGCACAATGCCTTTTGATATAAGTTACATAATATCAGTATTCTGACCCTAATAGTACAGTGGATATTAAGTTTTCTCACCAGTCATACTGCTAATGACAAGATTAATGACATAATATCTCACCCTTTCACATTAATAGATGGAGTCCCACCATGGTCTGTATTAAGCCCTTTGCTATATAACATCTTTGTCAATAACATACCTTTCCCCTCTTTAAATTACACATTATCATCCCAATATGTGGATGACATTGCTATTTGGAGTACTTCAAGTAACCCACATACAGCTATTTCTTGGGTTCAAGCCTCACTGTACACAGTGTTACAATGGTGTAATAAATGGCACATTGCCCTTCACCCCACCAAAACGCAAGCCATCACTTTCCACAAAAAAAGGTAACATAATCAGTCAATAGTTTAGAAAACCTGAAACTACAGTTAAGTAATACAACAATCAGTTTCACTGAAACCATTAAGTTTTTAGGTCTAACTTTTAAGTCAAACTTATCTTGGAGTAAACATTTTGATGATATTATCAGTAAAACTAGTGCTAGAATTATCTACCTTAGATTCATTGGTAGTATCAACAAAGGATGCTCCTCCAAACCATTATCACAATTTACAAGACCTATATTAGACCCCTATTTGAGTATGTAAATGCTGTAACCTGTAACATGACAAATAACCAACATAGCAGGTTATAAAACCTTCAGTATAGAACATGCAAAATAGCACATAGACTTCCCAATTACACTCCTCCAGTTAACCTTTATTCATTAGCTGAATTGCCTCCCTTAAAAGATCGTTTCATTAAACTTGTTTTGTGATATTATAAACACACACCAATGAGGAACACACAAACACAAGAATTTGCCCAACTGGTCCACCCCAGCCTCATGGGCCAGGTATATGTATCCCTTTTAAATATGATTAGTAATATCTTGATAAAAGTTGTTTTCAATTATCTCTATTATGGATATATGCAGTAACCAAATATTTCGTTTTAAGTTCTGGGCACTGGGCAGTATATTTTTCGGCACCTGTCCAGTGGAAATTGTTTTCCGCCACATCAAAATTTTTGACCATTGGATCTTCAGATTCCAGGCCCCGAGAAGGATCGCATCTTAATATGCTGAATCTTTAATATGTTTAAAGTTTAATCTATTACTTCTGAAGTTTAATTTATATTATTGCAGTTCAATCCAAGTTAAATTCTTCTTTTGTTTCAATCATGTTTAAAAATCTTAAAATTAAAACCAAAGGTCTTGTTTTAAAACATCAAATCAGTTTATTTGTCATAAATGGATGTACTGTATTATGCACCTCTTTGCTCACACCACTGTCATCGACAGCCTTCAACGTTTAATTTCACCACCATGTGTGTAAACAAACACACATGCATGCCATATGCTCCTGTTTCTTCGACACATCAAGCTCAAGCTGCAATAAAGATAAGTTCTTCATCTCTGCTCTTCTTTTGTTTCTCCAAATTCATGGATTTTCCCAGATGCTGCATCAGCCATTTAGCTAAATAGTGCTTCACCCATCTTCAATTCCTGTCAACTTACATGATATAAAATAATCAATCATTAGTTTAACTATTGGTATGTATCATACCTGCCGTGAAGATTATAATATCTTCCATCCCCTAGTAGAATTAAAACCTTAATTTCATGTGTGGGGCTGAAGAGGAACAATGGTTACTTAGTGCCCCTGGTTGTCACACAAGCCCCTTTGGGTCTTGTTTGATTTAAAACCTTAATTACTGCCAAGTTGAGATAGATACACACACACACACTGAATTGAAGATGGAAGGCTTTTGAAATGTTGTCCTCTACACAGGTGTCTGGCTTACAACAGGCAGTTGCGATCCATTCCAGTATACTCATCATGAATACTTTGATTAAACAATCTATGAAAGAATATCTAATCACTCTGCCAAGCAACTCAAGTCTTGGGGAGGATGGAGCACTCTTAAGAAAAAGATGATACAGAGAACAGTAGTCAAAAGTTTGAAAGGAGAACATGTAAGAGCCTTGAGAACTAAACAGAGGTATCAGTCCAAAAGAGGAACCCAATAAGGAGGAGGATTGCTTTAAAAAGCAAAGTTAGAGGTCTGTACAAACTGGAAAAAATAGGAGAATGGCTAGAGAAAAGATGGAAGGCCATCAACAAACTGACAATCATAGAAATGGATAGATCACCCTTGAAAAGATAGGTAAAAAGGAAGTGAAAGAAGAAAAAGTAAGACAACCTGGAAGAAGGGAGTGGTAAATGGTCCAGTACTGATAATCTATCCACTTGCAGGAAGGAGCTATAGGATGAGGAAAAGAAGGCAGCCTATAAATCAAATCCCAGAAACAAAGAAAGCAAGTGAATTGGACAACAGCTGAATAAATACGAAACAGGACAGCATGAAGAAAAGACAAGTGTGACCTATCCCAGTAAAGCTCTCAAGGTAGATTTGCAGATCCTTAAAAGGAACGGGTAAAGAAAATGGCAATCCAAGAAGGTGAGTAAGCAAGATATGAAAATGAGAAGACTAAATGTGAAAGACAAAGTAGAAGAAAAAAATCTCCAAGCTGGGAGAAGAAATTCAAGAGATAAGAGCATTAGAAAAAAGAGGAAGAATTGCAATCACTGGTCACAGAGGAGTCTTAAATTTGGGGAGTGCATAGCAACTGAGAATCAAAATGAAGCAAAAAGAGAAAGAATCAGCAATAGTAAGGCAAGGTGCATGCAAGAAGCTAACCTGAGAACCAGCAGAGTTATCAGAACAGTGAAGGACAAACATGGATGTTACCTCATCAGTAAGAATAGAAGAACCAGGAACAGAATCAGGTTGTAAGAAGATCTGGTCAAAGACATCCAAAGGCAAGGCAAGCTCGGCAGAAGTTACATAAGTAAGAGGCTGTGAATCCTGGGTTCAAGTTTGAGTATACGGTAGAACTACTATGTGCTTTAGAATGTGGTAAACACTGGGTTAATGATTATGGGGTATTTCCTGTCAAAGAAATGTCATAGTTTAATTAAGAGGAAAAATCAAATTAATGTAAAGTAGTATAATAATTCTTATCAGAAGCTCAAACTGAATTCAACTTTGAAAATAGATATTTATGCCTTTAAATAAAAAAAAAATAATATTCAGATATTAACTTAAAGATGAAAATAATAAGTGTAAAAAGTCCATAATTCTTAATTAAAAAAAAAGAAACATGCCTGAACACTGCAGTGGTGCGGAAATGAATGAGCTTTTGGTATACAGAAGGTGCTCAAGGAGTGTTAACTGTGCATGGAGGATGTGTCATCCACCTACCGATGAAATGATATAGTCTAATGCTGATTGTCTCATAGACTGACACAGTACACATTATTACATGTAGATATGGGAAGTTTATTCAAATAATTGATATATGCACAAAAATGTTTTGGCGGTGACATGATGTATTAGCTATCTATTCCCTAAAGAGATGAATAGCATTTCTGAAATGGTTTCTCAACTCAAAATATGGGAGGCAACATGATAGTCACTATATTTTCTGTGGATAGAATTTTAAGTTATGGAAACTTGCATGACACACAGACAAAGCATGGACTTTTCTCTTTATAGCAGTTTTACCAATTAAATGAAGATATTTCACTATAGATTGGTCACTAGGTTGTCAAATAAATATCTTTACCAGCCTGTGGAACATATATGTTTCAAGTTAATTAAAGGATAATAATAAAATCATATTTTATTATTGAAATTTGTTTTAACACCTTGGACACTGTGGACCTCTAAGTTGGTCTTGCATACTAGATAATAGAGGACCAAATGAATTAATTCTTCTTCTTTTGCATCACGAAATGTTTGAACTGAACCTCATTATTCATACTGGTATATGTATTTTATGTATGCTATATAATTTTTATGTGATTGTTTTAGTGCACTTTGGATATAGGCCTGTTTACATACAACATGTGAACACATCTACTCATCTTTAACACCACAAAAATAACGAAATAAAATTTTATTCTTCACAATTTCTTTGAACCTGTTCGTCTGTCTCATTCCACTTGTGGTGCCTTCAGTCATAAGACAGGCATATATCTTATACATTAAATGCAGACAGGTCTGTTAAAACAGTTTGGTAGAAAAACACATAAATAACCATTCTTTTCTTGGGTGCATGCATTCTTCACAAACTCATTAATAAAAGTGTTTGTTTGAAACTTCAGTGCTTACTGACTGGAAACTAAGTTATCTCAATGAAAGATAGATGTCTGCAGAAAAAAGCACCTGGGCAGTTGTATGTGAATGGATTTATTTTCCAGTGGTCAAGAAGAAAATTACCATATTTTGAGCTGAAGTGTCTCTCAAGTGTAACAAAATATTCCTTGTTAATGCCAGTTTTGTATATCATATGTGCACTGTTTTTTTCAGTTCTTCACTGCAACCTTTGCTATTGAAGCTGGTTTGAAACTTATAGCTCTTAGTCCAAAAACATACTTCAGAGAGGGTTGGAACATCTTTGATTTCATCATTGTTGCTCTGTCCCTGTTAGAATTGACTCTAGAGAATATACAAGGGTTATCTGTGCTCAGATCTTTTCGACTGGTAAGTAACAACTTGAAATTTTATGCCTACATGACAAATGTGGAGAAGCTGTTAGAGTAAGTTCTTAACCCAAAGAAAGCTTTATCAGGTTGAAACATAATATTTTAAGTTTCAATAATCTTTGAATTATTATAAAATAGACCATCTGAGGAGTTACATGATAGAATAATCACGTCTACAATTTTGTCTCTAACTTTAGCATGTTTTGAACTGGATAGTGTTATGGGATATGATAAATGAATTTGATAAAATTTACCTGAAGCAAGCAAAACTAAAAATGTAAAATAATCCATATAATAAAATATGAGACTAGCAATATTATCAATTTCAATAAAGCTTATATATCTCCTAATGTGGCATATAACAAATTATTATTCTAAATATGTTAGTACTTAATGGTAGGGATTGACAAGGATTCAAAATAATTCACCTCGAAAAACCACCCTGTCGAATTCCTCAGTGAAAAACCAACTGTTCAAAGTAGTGGTTATGATATATTATATGCATATATACTAATAATGTGCTAAAAGGTCACTAACATTTCTGGTATAACAATTCAAAAATTTCTAAACCAGCAACTTTTTTGTCTACTATCTACCCACCTGATCATGTTGGCAGGGTTAGTGTTTAGATGGCTTGGACTATCGCCACATAATTTTTCCAGCTTACTTGACTGGTCTGTGGATGTCTGCTTTTGACATTCTGATAAAAATACATATATATACAAGTATAATACAAATGGTAAACATATCATGCACATACTTAAATATCTTTTCAACCCAATGGATGGTGCTATATATTGATGGATAGACACATGACAGTTTCTAAAGGTAAAGTATGTACTTTATAAAGGTATAATATAAAAAGTAAACAAACAAGAGTATTAAAAAACTATGAATTTTAAAGTGAAGTAGGGATCCTGGTACAAAAAGTAATGAAACAAAAGTTAAAACCACAATCACTAATTTGTAAAATTTAATCCCTTGTTTGGCAGCTTTATACACTTATCTGTAGGCCAAAGTGAGGATTAAATTTGATAAATTTGTGATTGTGGTTTTAAGTCTTGTAAAAGTTACAGCTATCAGGGATATGGCTATACTGAAAGCTTATAGATGTATTAATTCCATGGACATATAAAACTGAACAAATAAATAGGAAAAAAAATTAAAATTTTAACAGAAATTAGGGATTGTTGGTTATTCATAGAATTGCTAAAGAAGTATCCAAAACAAAATAAATGCTAGAATAAAAAGTACACAAACAAATAAAGTGATACTAGTTGGATAGATTTTAGAATGATTTTCAATCCTTACTTTGTTTAGCATTGTGATCGGTATAGCTAAATGAAGCAGTCTAAATAAGTATGAATTGAAAATCGTTTTTATAACCTATCCAACTAGTATCACTTGTTTGTGTACTTTTTATTGCTGCATTTATTTTGCTTTGGATACTTCTTACAGCAATTTTATGAATAACCAATAATCCCTACTTTCCATTAAAATTTTAATTTTGTTTTCCTATTTATTATTATTTGAAAGGTTTAAGTTAATACTTCAGTTATTATTATTATTTTTTTTTTACAAAACACACGTCCTTTCACACAAAAGGCTATCTTGATCTTTGACTGCCCTGTTAGCACCTTCTTTCCCCCCCCATCTTTTTCTTCGAGTGGAGCATGGGAGTCCTTACCACTCTTAGTTCCCAGTTGCTGGGATGGTGTACCATTAACGCATCCTCCTAAGTGCTACAATACTTATGATAATTTATCCACTCAGGAGAAGAGGGCAAAGCTGGTTCCCTACTGGCACCTCCCCCCAGATGTTTTCTGCCTGAGTGGACCATACTCAATAAAACCAGTGATCAAATATTATTTGGGGCCAGCCTACGTGGGATCCTCTTTGTAATTTCAGGTTCAGGATTGTGTGCAGTAGATGCCTCTCTTCTCATTAATTCCAGTTGCAGAAGGTTCTTTCCTGGTTCTACAGTTGGGTCTGAGAGACTTTGTTTGCCTCATACTACTGGCAATGGGATGTTTGCACTCTGTTCCTATGGATGGGTGAATGCTACTTGTCCTCTTTATAATTCTGGATACAGGATGTCTTACCCTGCCTGCATTTATGGTTGAGTGAGGTATTATTTTGCCACTAATACCAGTTACAGCTTCCCCTGTTCTTACATTAGAGTTGAGTCAACACGAAGACCATGTAATGACCGATTATGTTTGTTGTAATTCTTGCTCCCATGGTGGTTTTGGGAGTTTGTTCGGTTATGACCGTTTGCTCACTTCATACTCATAATTCCGGTTGCTTGATGTATGGCACTTTGTTTACTTATAGTTGGAGTTGTTGGGTATCGATAACATGGTCCACATGCCCTGGTCACCTGTTATTATTACATTTTTTTATTTCATTATATTTTGATACAGCTTGCACATTAATGATCTTCTGATTGTATGAGCATTACCTTTTCCACCCATTTTATATTACTTTCCTAATTTCTGGGTGGTCACTTTACGTTTGGTTCGTTCTTTGTGTACCTACACCGGCCTTTTGCAATGTGGGATTCTAGACTTTTGTGTGAGAGAGGTAAGTCTGTTTCGGAAGTTGACATTTTCTGACACTGAAAATGTATTTCCAATAGGAACTTACCTCTTTTCACACACTTCCTCCCCACTAAAACCAATGTTTTTATTCTAGTACCTGCCAATTTTTGAAAGTGAGGATTGAGCGAGAATAGCACCATTACAGGTGGCACAATACTATTGGTGAAGAGTAGTTACATGGTATATACATGTTCATAAATGATGCAAACTGGTAAGATATAAAGACTGGTGCACTGATTAGTAAAATTATTTTAGCAATGCTTAAAGGGGAGTAAATGGTCGAGATAGTCTTTTATATGAGAGGAAGTGAGTACCTATCAAAAATACATTTGCAGTGTAAGAAAATGTTAACTTTGAATTTCTGTTACTTAGGATGACTTTGTGAATGCTAACAAATAGATGAAGATTATAGCTGGACTTGAATTCATTTTTTTGTGTGTCAGTAGTTTTTAGTCTAATCCATATGTAAAATGAAAAAAAGATAAGCTATGTGTTAAAAAGCATGTAAAAAAATTTAGATCCAATTCAGGCATAAAGAATGATAGTGTACAGAGAAGTTAATGCTATCCTGCAAGGTTTGATAAATGATAGCTATTTTTATTCAAAGATTATGTAAGACACGGTTACACTTGAACTGAACATTGCCATAATTAATGTCAGACTTGTCCAACTGCTCACCACCATGTTGATCCTTAATCATCCATGGAGAGAAACCAATCAGTCATTCTGGGTGCACTAGTTTCTGGCAGTTCTCCTTCCTGGTTCTTTGACCACAATGAGAAAGACACCAATGACCTACAGAGTTGCAATAAAAGTCTGATGTCCAGGAGAGTAATTATTTGATACCTAACAACTCTCTCTTACAGACATTTACCCTTAGTGAGTAACTTGCATATTTGGTTATAAGTCTTTTGATTCATGGAAAATGCCATTTCCTTAAGGTCAGAGCTAAAAAATAAAGAGAAATAAAGAGCACAGGGATATGCACTATTCAGGAGAATAACAGAAAACTCTCCAAACACAAATCCTGTGGTCATAGTACCAAAATTTTCACCTTGTTTCCTACTGTGCAGTATTCTCAGATGTGCTGATTTCTCTTTGAATAATTGGATAGGCTTCACAGAATAATAGGAGGCTTGATAAAGAAATGTATCATTGAGTAAATCTGAATATTTTGACTCCAACTGAGTTGTGAAAGAAAGAGAATGTACACAGTGTATGAAAAAGTCAAACTTGTGTACAAAAACAAACTAAGGCAAGATGACTGTGGTTATTTCACCTTTATTGTTGAGAGCTCTCAAAAGTATTGGTTGGAAGTCAGTAAAAAGCTGTGAAGAATTTGTGGCAAATATATTTCACATTGAGAAAACATAGTATTATATGCATGAAACAACTTTATAGAATTCTTTGTAATGAGAAAGCACATATGATGCCTTAGTTGAATAACCCTTTGCAATAAGTAATTAGTGTGAATTAAACTTAGTTACATCCTAGACCATTATTCTATGTTAAAGCTACATGCACTTACATTTACTAAAGTTTTTTATTAAATATAGGGAGTAAAAACACACAGTATGTCTACATACCACACTTTAACTTTTAACTTTCCCAACTATCACTAACTTTAAAACTTAAACCAATTAAAACACCTTACATATTGATTAAGAAATCAGAGTAACATACACTCGCCCCTGCAAAACTTATATGTCAAAAAAGGCAAATAAAATAAGGAACAGAACTTCACAATAAAAACTCAAAAATTACACTTAGAAACAATTGAAATACATTGCCATACAAGGATTTACCAAACATTAAATAACCCTCTGCACAAAAATGCAAAAAAAAATAAACTCTTCATTAAAGCAAGATAATATAATTAGAAATATACAAAATAATCTGTTTGACATTAAACTGATAGCAAAACTATCAAAATATATATGCACACAGGTTTGTGCCATATTTACAAGTGTAAATATGAAAGTGAAAGAGATAACATATGAACATATGTACGTATATACAAAGTACAAAGCTATAACACCAAAAATGCTAGAAAAGGACGTCTTTTAGTCATCATGAGTAATTAAACTTAAGAACATAAGAAGAACCCTTAAACATTAATGCAAAAAGGAAAACAGTATTTAACAGGAAATTAGAATAACTAATTATAGTATAAAACAGTGGATACATACATTGTGTAAAGATTATTACAGGTATATACCCAGTGTACAAATAAAATAGAGTATTTAGATAGTTATTGGAAAACTCGAGTTCCTTATTGTCACTTGACCTCTAACAGGAGGTTCTCCAGTACTGTGGTCGATTTATGGATGATTTCTTGAGCCAATGCATCTTATAGCAGCTTAGCACAGAGTTGGTGAACCTCGTTCTCTTCTGCAGT